CCCCAAAACCCCAAAACCCCAAAACCCCAAAACCCCAGATCAGAGAAGAAAAGTTGAAATAAATAATATAGCATATCATGGAACATTCAGATCTAGAAGTTAGTCTGACATCTGGACTTACCATGAGTCCAGCCGTGCAAAAGGCTATGAATGAGTCAGAGTATATCAAGAACCAGGATGCTCACTCTAGTGAGTTCGGGTTCATGATGTCTGAGGAGACTCTTACCAGTTCCAATATCCATGGCAAAAATCTAAAGGCAAAAATCGAAGAATACTTGGAAAGTAAGAACCTAACCAGGGATGAGCTTAAGATTTTGCTTAAACAAGGTGCTGCGGATAATCAACTTTTTATGATTAAGGAGAGTACCTATGAAAAATTGGTGGACGCTCTTGGGATTACTCTTAGCAGGCCTCATTATGGGGCTAATCTCGCTAAATCTGCTCCTAGTATCAACATGAAGAAGAGCTTCAAACAAGACAAAATTCAACAATTATCAACAGAGTTAAATGGTGAGCCTCTTGAGCTTATGAGCATGAGGAGACTAATTAAAGAAAAATAGCAATATATTTGCCAAAGAGATGAAGATGAAGCAAACAATGGTATATCCTATTTATAACGATTTGAGCAAAAGTGGAGTCCATCATGTTATACAAAACAAGAACGAGGCTAGTAAGAGGATACAACAAATTTCTCGACAAAGGTTAATGTCTAAGCAACTCTCCTCAGAAGTTGATATAGATGGATCTCCTCATAAAGTTAATAGCCAAGGGCTAAAGATATGTCTTTGTTATACCTTCTTGTTCTTAATATCCATCGTGCTGTTTGGAGGATGGGGTCTTCTCTCCTTCTTTATCACAAAACAAAGGCTTTTTGCAATATTTGGATATCAACTTTTAATAGCTGGAGGAGGAGGCTTTGCCATTATGATACTCTCCGCACTACTTCTTTGATTCATTAGTCATGACATGGCAACTATCTGTAAACCTGCATGTGGGAGGAGATGCTTGAACTTGTTTGATTTTAGGATATCTTTTCACAAAACTTGAGGCTATTTAATACTATTCTATTCTCTTCTGCATTCAGCGATTCATCTCTTTTTACTAGAGGACAAGATGGCAGACCCAGATTACTTTGAGGAGAATAGAAGGTATCTACACCATTGGAATTTTGATGAGCCTCCAACAGTATGGGATTTGACATTTAAAACAGTTCCAGGGATTACAGGGATAATCTTGCTTATCACAATTATCCTCATCTTTTTGACATCCTTAAAATGAGTCAGAGAGACGTCTTATCAAACGTTCTCTTACGCCCACACATTTCTGTTCCCAATATTTTTCTTTGGAATGATAGCACATGGGACTGCCAGATGGCTAAATTTTGGGTTCCCGACAGCTATAATCCCTCTGACAATCCCTCTTATTATTTACTTCACAATGGTAGCCAGAAGGCTGATGAATTCATGCAGGAAATCTTGGAAGATAAAGGACTTTAAGATTTCAAACGATCGTAGCTTTATGTACTTAAGCCTAGAGGTACCTAAAGACTATAGTTGGAAGCCTGGGCAATATGTTAACATTAACATCCCCTCCGTGAGTCCTCTGCAGTGGCACCCATTTACTATCGTATCTGCCCCTAATGACAATCATCTTGATTTAATAATTAAGCGAAGAGGCGATTGGACAGCCAGAGTTATATATACTTTTGCTGAGTTAAAAAAGAAAGGGCTTTGTGAGAAGATAGGGCATTTTACAGATTGACATTACGAGAAAGAGTTCATTGATTACCTCTTTGAAATGAATATTGGAGAGAATCATGGAGACATCAAGATACATTTAACAAAACCTATCTCGGCAATGCCTGATACAATTCCTTTAAGAAAGAACCTGATTCTTGTTGGATCAGAAATTGGGATATCTTCCATCCTTGCTTTCTTGGATGAGCAGTTGATCACAGAAAGAAGAGCTGGAGATCCCTCTAATACAGAAGATTTTAAAAACAAGAACAATAAGACTTCCAATATTGAAAAGATTCATTTAGTGCTTGTGAGTAAGGATTCAGACCAACTCTCTTGGTTGTCTCCTTATATTGACCGCATACTGAGTAATGAATACTTGTCTGAAAAAGTTGAGCTACATCTTTACTGTACATCTATTATGTACCGCTCGTTTACTTCCTTTGTGTTCTGGAGATCATTCTTATTAAGAGAGAGAATGAAGGGAAATTTAACAAGATCCACCCAGACTGTGATTGAGGAACATTCATCCAATCTTGACTTCAATATCGGGAAACCTGACTTTGTAAGTAACTTAAAATATCTCTTAGCAAATTTACTTCTCCAAATGTAGTTAATAAGAAAAATAGTCTTCTGTTTTAGTTAGCAAGCTTCTAGAAATTTTTAAATAAAATTTGTCGAGAAAATCTTAGGTTATGAGTCAATTTTATATCTGCTCGGATTTACGATAGATAAATCAATTTTTTTGTCTTTAAATGCTTTGCTAATATCACATAGTTGGAACTGTTTAAAAAAATCCACTTCAATGAACCCAAAGACTTCTACGTATACGCTTCAGGATCAAAGGAACTAATAAGCAAGACAGTAGCTGCCTCTGATTTTGTCAATAGACGAGGTAAAGGTACTTTCACATACAGATACCAAATAATTTAGTATTACTACTATCTCTCTTTTCAATATTTAGGCATACAAAAGGGGTTTTGGGGTTTTGGGGTTTTGGGGTTTTGGGGTTTTGGGG